TTATATAAATAACCATCTGATGAACTCTTTTATACAACATAATATATATAATATAAAACATAAAAGATCATACATATAGAAAATGAAAGATAAGCACCATACAAAAGAAATAACATANTTACTATATATATTTTAAAATTTACTGTTAATATTTTTTAATTATATAAATAACCATCTGATGAACTCTTTTATACAACATAATATATATAATATAAAACATAAAAGATCATACATATAGAAAATGAAAGATAAGCACCATACAAAAGAAATAACATAAAATAAAACTTACAACAAATATAATTGCTTAATAATCCGATTAATCATTTTCGGATCCATTAAAATTAAATAATCCGATAAAATATTATTAAATTCTTACATAACATGATAATAGAAGATGATTGTGATCTCGAGGTGCCAATTGAAGTTGAAAGAAAAGTCATGTCAAGGAAAATTGAAATTGAAGAAAATAATAATGTGAGGTTCCAAAAGTTTCTTTCCCATTTCAGAGTATTCAAAGATAAAGAAGCTCATTTTTTATTTCGAAATGCATTAGTTGATCATTTGTGGGAAAATTATTATAATTCTAATGAATAATTTAGAATTTATGTATTATTGTGTTTAAGCTATATAATGTAATTTTTAATGTATTAAATGTATTCTTTTAAAACCTTGTTGAGTAGTTTTATTTATATAATAAAAATTTGATTGTGGTTAATATTGTATTTAATAGAAATGCTATAAATTTAAAATGGACTGTTTTGCAAATAGTATAAATGAAAGGTGATATTCCTAATTTTGAAATAAATATAATATTAAAAATATTCTTTTGGAGTAAAAAATGGAGTAATACATTGGAGTAAAACTCAACTGCATTTTGGAGTTACTCCATTTTAGAGTAGAAAATAGAGTAATACATTGGAGATGCTCTAACTATTAAGTAACCATTGCAATGTTTGGTTGTCAACTATTAGTGTTCTATATAAAATATTGTAGACAATAACAAAAATTACAAATTCCTACACAAGATCTTTTCACAAATATGTATTATCTATTTTGGAGGGTTAACCCAGAGATGGAATATCACTTGTTTGCGTGGATTTTTTGGTATTTTTGGAAGGCGAGAAATAATAAAGTCTTTAGTAATATAGATGTGAATCCCAGGGACACACTAAAATTAGCAGAGACAGAATCGTTTTTATAGAAAGAGGCTCAGGTACCACCACAAGGACCGATCTCCACTCTGCAGAAGAATGGAGAGGCCAGTTTACCACAGATACATGGGCGATGGTGTTTCACTAATGGATCTTGGAAATTTGGTTAGTCTTTTTCAGGACAGAGTTGGTATAGTACTCTTCAGGGTTTTCATGGATTAATGGGAGCCAAAAATACTAGAGCGAGTTTATCACCACTGCATTCGGAAATAGAAGCTTTAATTTGGGCGATGGAGAGTATGGAGAGTATGAGGAATCTGCGACAATATCATGTCACATTTGCGACGGACTGTATCCAGTTGGTAAAGATGGTTTCTGCACTAAAGGAATGTCGGCGTTTGCAAATTATCTGGAAGACATAAGGATCCTCAAAGAGAGTTATACACACTCAGAAATCATTCATATTTCAAGAACACTTAATATCAAGGCGGACAGTCACGCACGCAGTGCAAGGAAGCAATCATCTTATGTTGTTCATATGGATGCAGAGTTACCATTGTGGTTCGCAGAGTCTATTTAGAGTATGTATTATGCCGATGACAAACAAAAAAATATCTTTTCTGATCACAATCATAACAACAACACATATAAAAATTCACAATCACAAATAAATTAGGAAAGGGAGAGAATCATTATTGAAATTTCATCAAAGATTTTGGAAAAACATGTAAACATGGAAAAAAATTTAGTATTTATCTTTTCATCCTAAAAATTGTTTAGATTTTTAATATTAACTTGTTATTCATTTAAATATATTTTATCATATACATTTTAGGTAACCATTAAAATAATATGGTAATTTTATAAGTAATTTTTTTTTTAAATAATATTTTATATTCAAAATTAGATATATTAATAATCGCACATGATTTATACATGTTATTTTATTATTTGCATATTTCTATTTATATAAAGAATCTAAATAAATGTCTAGAGAATCTAAGTAAAATAAATCTTTATTCAAGGACGGTATTTTAAGGGAATAAGTGACTGAATATTTTTTTCAATTTATGAAATGTTATAATAAAACTTGTTTACATGAAATATGTGGTATATTTTATTTTATAAAATGAATTCTTGCGCAATAGCGTATTTACAAAACTGCATTGTATGTTCCATGAAGACATGATTAATGTCATATATTTTTCATACATTCAGATTATATAAGAAAATTTCATCAAGACATATTAGTTAATATATGTCATTGTCTTCGATGAAATTTGCTAGCATATAAACAAATATATTATGATATAAATGAAGAGAAATTTGGTATCACATACATAACATAATAAAACTAAGCTTCTAAGACTTACATGCTTGTTATGAATTATGTGAATGCCAATGTCTGTGTCTGCGTTTTGGTTGTTTGTTTTACAACACAAGTTTTTGAGTCCGTGTGAAAGAAGGGAGGATAAACCGATGTATGATGTAAATAACATATTTATACTATATAATAAAAGTATATAGTATAGAGAGATGGGGTAAACTAGTTAACATACATGATTTACATTTCTCAAGGTTATCTTGTGTGACAATGCTTGTGCTACTGGAACTTAATACCACAAAGAGCCTGAATCAGTGCACCTCACTCACATATGAGACACTCACATATGAGACACTTGCAGTTGTAACGATGACATATGCAGTTGCAGCCTTCTCAACGTTCAGCCCCGATCAACTCCCGTAGTGACATTTGGATGTAACTCCTATATTTTTATTTCTCTACTCATATGATACTTATAGTGATCTGTTGGATGCAATCCCTATGTTATTATGTTTCCAAGGCTATAATAAATTCTGGCAATTGGGAACTCCTTATGTTTCGAAGTAGTTCCAGGTGTTTCTTCTACCAGCACATTACACATCCGCCCACCTTATATTATACTTTTTTTGTACTATTTCACAGTTATGTATGGTATAGTACAAAACATATGCTTTATTTTTGTTAACTCTAATATTTCATGTGTTAACACGTACTAGGTTACAAATTTTCAAGTGACGTATGTATTATAGGTAGCACAAGAAGAAATGAGTTTTTAGGTTCCAAAGTGAATCTTATTTATTATGAGGAATAAACAATATACAAAATTCGAAGATGTAGTTTATATACGGTTCTTCTATATTAGATTTCACCATTTGAGACCCTCTGATTCACAAATGTAAACTTGTTTTCTTATGGTAACAACAAGCCCATTTTCGCAACCAATAAACCCCTAGTTACTTCTTGTACATAACATAGTCAAACAAATAGTTTTTTTGTTGCCATTCGATTATACTATAGTATGTACTATATAGTATAGAATTATATGGTGATTTGTGTTGTATGGATTATACTATATGGCATATAGTATAGTAATATGTGGTAGCTATTCCTTTTATGTTGTGTCAATACGTTTTTAATATAGCACAATCCTCTAATTTTACGTCATTTACGTTCATATAAAATGATAGAATAATTACAAATCACATAAAGCTAGGGATGAAAATTTATCTTTTTGAATTAAAAGATTTGTGTTATTATAGAGATATGACAGAAATGAAGAAAGGAGGGGAGTGCATATCTTTTACTTTCCATCGTCATTTCACGCGCACGCGCCAATAGGGACAATACGGAAAAACATGGATTTTAATTGTCCATCCGTTCCTATCCGTTCCTTAATTGTAGCTTTGACTATATTCTTCATTTTATTGTCATTTCACGCACACGTGCCAATAGGGACAATACATGAGAGCATAGACTTTAATTGTCTATCTGTTCCTTAAATGTAGTTTTCGCTATATCTTCATTTTATTGTCACTAATGAATATTCAGCAAAATCACCCTCAATAAAAAGGGTGTTGTCAATAAATCAATATACATTTATCATCATATCCAGTTTTTTATTATTATTTTTTATAATACATAACATGTAAATAGATATATGATTAAAAATACGTTTGCCAACATGAAAATAGTAATCCACGAATTGTAAAGTCTTATACGAAAGTTTATTATTATAAAATATAATCTATTTGATTTTATAAAATGAATTTTCGTACGATATCACACAGGTTTCTTACCTAATTTAGTTAAAGATAACAAAAACTAAATTAATAGAAAAATCATAAACACCATTTATTTTTTGATAACAAAAGCTTAACTAGAAATGACAATTAATTTGAAAGGGAGATGTTTATCTAAATGAAACAAAGTATACAATGCCAGAATTGTACTGTTGAAAATGAGATCTGATCATCTGACTGAGGAATAAATATGGTAAGAGGATTTAAAAAATAAATATGAAAGTGTTCAATGAAAGACTAATTAAGACTATAGTTGGAAACAAATATGTGTAGATCAACCAATCTATATTAACATTTTCAAAGCATTTGGTCATACAAGAAAAGAAATCTAAAAATCATAATGAGTGTCAGATGATAATAAAAACATTGATATATATCTGGCTTCTCCTATCTTAAATAAATTTACCACCAATCCAAATATCTTCAATTTTTATTTATTGAATTTGACAGTCAAATGTGTGTTTGTAGGAAAAAGAAATGAATGACTTTATAAATAAGGAAAGGTAATATGTAAAATGTCAGTTATTTTGTTTCTGTGTACGTGGTGGGTCACAATCTCAACTATATTGAACTTTACGAAGGCAAATAAATAGGAGGAGGCTTGAAGACTCTTTCTTCTTACTCTGAATTGACTTAGAGAGAGAGAGAGAAAAAGAGATCTCAAACTTTCTAGAGAGAGAAGCGGAAGAGCTAGTTTAGAGAGGGATATAGAGGAGTTTGGATTCGATGAAGGCTCTTAGACGGATTCAAACGAAGTCTTCTTTTCCAAATCCTTCGTCTCCATTGTTCTCTTCTCCTTCGTCTTCCTCTTCTCCGTGGACTCACTTGCGTTCTGCTCTTGTCCTTGTCACTTCTTCATCTCCCGCAACTTCTTCCTCCAATCCGTGAGTCTCTTTTTGATCCATCTCTCTCTATATATCAATGCCAGACTCTTTGTGGTTGATTGCTTGTTAGATGAATTCTTGATCAATAATTTAAGTACATTGCTTTTTTATTACAAATTGACAAGGCTTGTCTTTATGTACTTGATAAAGTGATTTGGCTTATGTTTTATTTTTGTTGTCCTAAAAGACCAACTTGTTCTGTGATTAGAGCCTAACTTTGTTACAAGCCTGTAGTGTTTGGTTAATTTATATTCTAATATTCAGGAATCGACTAAAATCACCGTGGTCACGGTTTAAACGGAAAAAGCCCCTCACGCTTCGACGGTGGAGAAGTTTCTTCACCCCTGAAGGGAAAATTCGGAACAGGGGTGTTGATTTGTTGAAGAAAGTCCGGAGCAGAGTGAGTCAAATCTTCATAGCATTTGTGTTGGTGATAGTGTTTTACAAATGTTATTCAATTTTGTTAGATTATCTTGTAGGGTATTGATCCTAGCATCCGGTCAGAGGTGTGGCCGTTCCTTCTTGGAGTGTAAGCACACACATACAACCATTTTACTTATTGCAATTGATTTTTTTTTATTATAATGAAATCTTGACATTGTTTCTTGTGGTGTGTTGATATCAAGAACATTTTCTGGTTATAAAATTATTGTCACACTTATGTTGCAACAAAATTACACACAGAGCCATAGTGTTCTTGCTTCTCACATGCCTTTTGTTTATTTTCTTGTTTACAAACAGGTGTGATTTCAATAGTACCAAAGAAGAGAGAAGTGCTACAAGAACTCAGAGAAGGTGAGAGAACACAGATGAATCTCACCTTGAGACTCCTTTTTTTATTTCTTCATTTTGTCATCTGTGATTTCATTTTAATTAACCTTACAAATACAGAAAGGCGTATGAGAGACTACGCAGGAAGTGCAAAAAGCTTCAAAGACAAGAAGACAGTGGCGACCTCGAGTTTAACAAGATCAATAAACCTTCTCAAGATGGGAGGGGGAATAATGGTTGGTCTTTTGATCAAGACACTGACAGTTCCTGTTCTGATGATGCTTGCAGCACTCACGAGTCTCTCTCTAGCGACAAAGACATCACAGAAGATAATATTGGGTACATTTGTGACAGAGACTACACTGGCTCAACACAAGTGAACTCTGAGTCGTCAGACTCAGATTCTTCAGATGACAACAACTCTGTTCAAGTCTTTCCTTCAACTCAAGCGAAAGATGATGAAACCAGTACTTCTCCATCAACCATATACATCTCTCGCACCAAAGAAGATTTCGTGACGTGGCAGCGTATCATCCGCCTAGACGCTCTCCGTGTGGACACAGAATGGTTCCCATATTCACCATCACAAGCATTAGTATCAGAGGACAAAGCACGTCGTGCTGCTGTAGCGGTTAGTCTAAAAGATTACAATCACTTGGAGCCTTGGAAGATCTTTCACGCTGCACGTCTCGTTGCTATTCTCGAAGCCTATGCTTTACATGACCCTGAGATAGGGTATTGCCAAGGAATGAGTGATCTCCTCTCCCCTATACTCTCAGTCATACATGAAGACCACGAGGCCTTCTGGTGTTTCGTGGGGTTCATGAAGAAGGCTCGTCAGAATTTCAGAGTAGATGAAGTTGGGATCACAAGACAACTCAATATAGTTTCAAAGATCATCAAGTGCAAAGACTCGCAGCTGTACAAGCATCTTGAGAAAGTCAAGGCAGAGGATTGTTTCTTTGTTTACAGAATGGTTCTTGTGATGTTTAGAAGAGAGATGACGCTGGAGCAGACGTTGTTTCTTTGGGAAGTGATGTGGGCAGAACAAGCTGCTGTGAGAGGTGGGATTGGGAAGTCTTCATGGAGCAGTAGAATAAAGCATCAAGCTCCTCCTACAGATGATCTCTTGCTGTATGTAATAGCTGCTTCGGTGTTACAGAGGAGGAAAGTTATAATGGAGAAGCATAACAGCATGGAGATACTGGAAGAGTGTCACAGTATGGTTGGGAAACTAGACGTGTGGAAGCTCTTAGATGATGCACATGACCTTATTATCACTCTTCACAACAAGATTGAACAATATGATCACATAAGGTCAGAATCAAAATAGGCATATGATTTTTTGTGTGGCGTGTTTGTTTCTCTACCTGAGTTTTTTATTTGGAGATAGATGACTTGCTGCATCTCCATTTTCAGTTTTGTGTAAAAAGTTTTGTGCCGGGAAAGAGAATTTTTCTCCGGTAAATATAATAATTGTTGATTGCATAGTTGGTCAGCAATAAATAGAGTATAATATGTATGAATGGTGTAGAGATTTTTATATTAACAATCAGGAATATACAAGCTCGGTAAGTACAAAAACTAGAGAGATCGTCTAGACAGGTGGTCTAAACAAAATCTCTCCAACAATTTAAATTAAACCTGGGCATAAAATGTGTAACCAGAAATCCGAACCAAACCTGAATCCGGTCCGAAATATTAAAAGTACCCGAATCACTACAAGAAAACTCGTCCATTACTAGGACGGGTTTTCCTCGTTAGTTCCTAGTAAATGGCCTTTTACTAGGAACTTACGAGGAAACGCGTTTCCTCGAAACACGTTCATCGTAAAGACATTTTCCTCGTAAGGTTGTAGCGAATTTACGAGGAAAGTTTTCCTCGTAAAGGCGTGGTAATATTTTCCTCGTAAG